AAAATTTGTTGTGGACTCACTCGGCTGCACCTCGTGAGTCCACAACATTTTGACCACTGTGATGACGCGTATCGTTGTCGATAAGAGCACAGACCACGCCAAACCACATTCGATTTATTAATTCGAACAGCTCCATTTTCGTGACGGATTATTGTGGACGGTAGACCTAACCATAGAAATAAACCTCCGTTTTCAAATTTCTCCGGCGTAGTGTGGACGGCGACTCCCTAGTGTTAGAAATAACGAAATCTAGAATACGTTTGATCATGAATTTAGAATACTATATCGTGTTTTCGCTTCTGGCCTTGGACTTCTGTTATTGATTGAAGTAAATTTTGATAATATATGAACTAGAGAGTGTTTATCAGTGAAATGCCGTTTCTGGCAATGTACTTTATTTATTCAACCGAATGTAAAAATGTAATTCAAATTGTTCTAATTTATATGTAGCTGTTTAAAAATTTTATTTCGTACTTATAACAAACTGGTTAATCTTTACAGCTTCAAAAATATGTACTGTAGTATATACAAATAGTTTTTCTTTTTAGATTTTGTTGCAAGTCCTTATTTTTTGGGGGTATTTTGTCATTTATTTATATTTTCGTTTTTTGCAGCTCTCGCAAAATAAAATCACTACATACTTACCAAGAGGCTAATTAAATAACTTTTAGCAAAACTAACCCGTTTCCTATATTTTCTCTCTCCGCTTTTCTCGCTGCACCTAACTAACCGAACTCCTGAAACGAGACATTGCGAACTGGCGAGACCTCTTTTTTCTGTCAGCCCCACCCGAATTTGTTCCCTGATTGTGTACCCTTAATTGTGTACCTTTGTTTCCTGCTTATACTGAGTTGTGTACCTCTCTTGGCACCTTATTATGTGCTGCTGATCCCTTTATTGTGTACCTCTCTCAGTCCTTTGACTGAGTACCTCAACCACAAGGGCCCCTTAAAATTGTGCTCCAACCTGACCTCTTTAATCTTGAATCAAAGCCGAACTGACCTCTGTCAGTCCTTTGATTGAGTACGTTAACAACAATGGCCCCTTAAAATTGTGCTCCATTATATGGTTAATGAACCGTTTCAAAAGGTCCATTGAATCATAAACCAGTGGTACAGTGCGTTGTTAAAACGGAAGACATACCATTAGACGTTTTGCGCGAAGCGGTCTCGTTCACTTGTTCTTGAAAACTTTCGGTCGCGTCGTATCCTGTCGTATTAAGTTCACTCACTTAGATTATCTGCCTCTGGGCCTACGAGAACACAAAGAAGGTAAACGCGTAGCCTGTAGCCTATAAAATGGTTGATATTTCAAGAGATGATCTCTCTGCGTTATTATTTGCACAAATCAGACCAGCTGGAACTGATACTAGTATCGATGTATCTATATATTTAAGTACAAGCAGCATAAAAGTTACGTAGAAAACGGTCGCTTCTTTAAAATACGTCAGATGGAAATAATAGAGAAATGAGCCTTAAGTCTTTGAGAAGTTAAAATTACTACTGACTAGAATCATAAATATAAACAGAAATCAAAGATAATTATCTCGTTGGTTAACTACTCTC